TGACTTAAAGCAGGAAAAGGTGAATCTTTCACTTGAGACTTTTCCTGAGAGTGAAGAGAACAGCCTGAAATGCAAAACTCTGGCAGGAGCAATCAAAAGGCAGACTGAGGAAAGGCAGAGAAACAAAGGAGACCATACACCACAACATCAGGCCTTTGAGTGCCATCACAGACTGACTGACCCAGTGCAACAGCCAAACAGCTTCAACAGACTGATGATCTAACCAGAAGGACTTTCATCCCTTCCCATTGCGTGCACAGGTGCTGCATATATAATGATCACTCACTATAGAGACTGCTTCATATTTTGTTAATTATTTTATTAACTATATTAATCTTGATTATCCACTGGTCTCACAGCAGTTCTTCCTAACATTCTCAATCTGCTTTTCAATAGGTACCAGTCCAGCCTTATGTCTTAAAGAAAAAGTAATTATGACAGACAGAAGTGGGTGCTTGACTCACCAATCAGATAAAAATGGAGCTGGATTTGGCACAGTAAGGGCTATTTCATTAACCAACTAGGGGGAAATGTACAACTGAATTATTGACAACAATGCTGAACTCTTTGGGAAATAGAAAAGAAAAAAGGGTAGACAAGATGTCTAATAAAAAAGAATATGGCTGATAAAATAAAAATATTGGTCACTCCATTTTGTGTAATGGTTATTCTCGAGGGCTAGATTGAATAAAATTAAAATACTCCAAAATCATGAAATCACATATGCTGTCATCACTGAGGATAACGAGATGGAAATGTTGATGGCCATGGATCCTACAAACCCAATTCCAAAAAAGTTTGGACACTGTACAAATTGTGAGTAAAAAAGGAATGGAATAATTTACAAATCTCATAAACATATATTTTATTCACAATAGAATATAGATAACATATCAAATGTTGAAAGTGAGACATTTTGAAATGTCATGCCAAATATTGGCTCATTTTGGATTTCATGAGAGCTACACATTCCAAAAAAGTTGGGACAGGTAGCAATAAGAGGCCGGATCTATTATTCTAACCAAATTAATCTATTAGATTTTGAAGAAAAAAAAGAAAGAAAAAGAGAGGTTTATACAGCAGTGTTAAACTAAACTTTATGGTGACCGACGTTGCCTGGTTGCATGACATCTAGAAACTATGTGGAATGCTACCAGGTCTATGCTCAGTAGAGTCTAACTAAATAAAAACTAAATAAATCATGCTACTCAGAATTCGTGGCAAACACAACTAAAATCATTTAGTTTACAATCAGCTGAAAACTCAAAAAAAAATATGTTTTTGGCAAAAAGGGGAATGTGAAAGAGTGTGAAAAAGTATGAATGATGGTGTTGTATGAAGTGAAAGAGGGTGTCTGACGAGACACTAAGGCAAATCAATCATTTTGCCAAAACAGCTGTATGCACATTTTAATATGTGGGCCCACAGGGCAAATTATGCCCAGTAAAATAATGACCATGGATGAATTTGGTTAAGTTTCCTGGTCAGTACCTAGGTCATTGTTGTGGCAGAAAGAAAAGCCGTGTCATGCTTGCGCAGCGTATAACATGGGAAGGCAGAGCAAAACAAGCTTGCTCTGTCCACCCCACATCTAACTTTCTTTTCAGCATATCATGATGGAGCTGATTCTGTGTCAAAAAGATAAAATATTGTCTTTCTGACTGTTAACATAAAAAAAGTGGGTTGAGTGTTTTCCAGGTCAAAAGGCTTATGCTACTGAGCAAGATATGCCTAGGAAATTATCCAGTGATATAGTGGAACTCAGTTTATAAAACAAAGAGATAACTGAATTAGCAAATTGTTGAGAATAAATTTGAAATGAATTGAAAAATAGTAAGGATGCAGATAACTGAGTAAAACCAAATTCTTTATTATATTATAGAAAATGGGTATTAGCCCTATACTCATTGTATTGACAGCACTGGATTTGTGAGGGCTAAAAAAGGGGCCAGGACAGCCCTCAACCCACATTAAATTTCCACAGGTCACACCAAGAAGGACTTGATATCACTAACAGAAAATTTTGAAGGTTTCCATTTACAGGTGACAACAGTGCTATCAAGGCCAGGGAATGGTTTGCTCCACCAATAAGAACCAGTGAGTGCAGTTATGATCTCAAGGGAGAATCTTGCATTGAGCGGCAAAATGGTTGCAGAGTGACACCTGGGTCCACATCTCTCACCTTAAAATATGGCAACCAGCTTCAAAAACTCCACACAGCATGAAGTGTGGGATGAGGGGCGTGCTAGTAACGACCCTCCCTTGCCAACGAGGGAAAGACCATTGCAACGACTCGCAAAGAGTCACCCTGGTGAAGATGGAATGAGTGGTGAGACTGCTAACGAGATGATCAAAAAACTTGGGAGCAGATGTGGGCCAACAAATGGAAAAGAGGAAGTGGAAAGAGAAGGAAACAGACAAGCAGACAACTCATGAGAAAGTGACATACAGAGACCAGTAACACAAGATGAAGTGCAAACTGATGACAACTCAAAAAGAGATAAGCAAGAAGCTCACATTCTTTTGTCAGAGAAGCAGAAAAGGGAAAAGATATCTGATGATCATCACATGCCTAATGCATCTAATTCTACAAGATCAAGCAATAGACAACAGCACCCAGACTTCCCTAGAATTGACTTTTCAACCCTCATCTGAATCTGGCAGTATCTTTTACTTAATCCAAAATGACTAATAATTGGACGAGAAGAAAAAAAAATCTAGATAAAACATTGTAGATATTAATCATAATATCAGTTATAAGAAAATTAGCAATTCAAATGTTTATGGGAAAAGGTAGAAGACAATAATTGATATAAATGGGTAAATTACACAGCAGAAAAAGAAAAGTGGGAAAACTGCATAGTTTGCTTTGAAGCAAGACCAGTCTTATATATTATACCAATACTGATACACAGTTCAAGTTGTAGAATATTTCATGATGAATGGTTTAAGACAAGGGTTCTCAAACTTTTCCATTCCACGACCCACCTAAACAAGTATAATATTTCAAGACCCACCAAAATATTTGAGATCAAAAAACAATTGACATTACTGTAAGCTTGAACTTAATAAAAAGTTTAATATGCCAGAAATGAAGTATTTAAGAAAAATAAAAATTGTATTTTATAGTATTATTTATAGTATTATTCACTAATAATATTTATGTTTAAATTTTTTTTTATTTACATATGTTAATGAGTCTATGAAATATGTCCATAAAAACTCGAGCTCACTCCGGTGCAGATATGAACTGTAATCCGCGCTGAAAGTGTTGTTAAACTCATCACGGGGTTTAGCGCAGAAAATGCTCTCATGATCCGTGTGTGTAGGGGAGAGCGGAGCACAACCTAACACTCTTTTTCTATTATTTAGCAAAGCATAAGAAGCGAAGAAGAACTATCTAAAACAGTTTGGAGATTAAAATAATTGTGAAATAATTGTAAAAACAATAAACAGATGTGTCTCATTTTAAATAGGCCTAAACAAACCAAGACGACAAATTAATTTCAGCCAGAAAGTTACTTTTGCAATGATTAAATAAATGTCCAGGACTATCTAGTGAAATGGGATTAGATGTAAAAAAAAAACTGGGAGGTAAATTCTTAATAGAAAGATGTAGAGAAATAAATACCTTTAGAAACTGTACCCCAAAAATGGCACTATGCCCATACTGGTGCCAGTGTCTCCAATCTACAACAAACTACAGAGAAGCAACTGAATTACAGTGCATACCAACCCGTAAATGGCCAATAGTACGAAAAAAAAATACAACAACCATAAGGAAAAATACCAGTAATGGCAGATCAATTATTTGAATGTTATAAAAAGAAGGGAACTATTGACATAGGAAAATTAAAGAAAATGCAGCAAAATATGGAAAATTCCACAATGTAAAGATGATTAGTTAGTGAAAAAAGCAGGCCCACCACCTATATTTGATGACATCGATATTGCATTGGCAGACATATGGTGGATGTGTGGATTAGAGTATGGCCTCTTGACAACATTACCAGAAAATTGGTCAGGATTACATACTAGGGATATGCTGACACATAAAATGAGTCATATCTCTCTAGAAGAGGAAACAATAAATGAAGAAAAAACTAGAACCAAAAGAGCATATGAAAAAGACCCTGCAGTTTATATAGATTCAATTGGTCGCCCAAGAGGTATACCTTATGAGTTTAAAGCAAGAGATGAAATAAAATCAGGGATTGAAACAATATTCATCTGGATTAAACAAAATAAAAATGCAGATTGGATCAATTACATATATTACAATCAGCAAAGATTTATTAAAAACACTGATGAGGCCTTATCACTTTTAGGAGAGCAATTGGATGCAAAGAGCAGAATGACATGGCAAAATCGAATAGCTCTAGATTATTTGTTAGTTGAGAAAGGGGGAGTGTGTGTTATGTTTGGGGATCAATGCTGTACATACATACCAAATAATACTGCTCCTGAAGGAGCATTTACTGAAGTAATGACCAAATTGAACAAACCTAAGGATTGAACTTAAAGAAAATGCTGGAAAAGATAATCAAATGTGGGACTGGTTTGATTTAAAGTTAGGAGCATGGGGAGCATGGTTAGTTAAATTAGGAATGTTTTTAGGAATTGCAGAATTGATAGGAGGATTACTATTTTACTGTGTACATTCTATATCAAGGTCACTAGTTATCAAAGCCACAGCTAAGCAAATGGAAATTCTAAGATGTCAAGATGATGGGAAATAGATTTTTGAGGGTAACCAAAATGGCCCTCTACAATGCAAAGGATCTGGACTGAAGATCAACTATGCTATTTTTTGTGATGTTACATGTTTTATGTTTTGAATTTTAATGTCCGTTGTATATTACATAACTGTGACAACCACAGGCAAGCGCTGAACCAATTGCACGCTCATGCTTATAACATTGTTTTATCTTAAATGAGGGATTAGGGAGCCGGATCTTTTACTCCCTCCTAGTCAGGTTTGGTCCTGCTGCTCTCGCCACAGTGCTGTTACATAATCTAGTCATTGGTGATAAAACTGTGTGACTTAATTTAGTCACTAGATAGTGATAACTGATGAGACTGAATTGTGAAGCTGCACTCAGGGTAATGACAATTGATGGTGAGACTTAGTAAGTCTCAAAGAAGGGAATGTAGAAGATTTTTATTGGTCAAAATATGAACTACTCAAGTATAAGCAATGTGAATCTGGCCATTTATATATCAAGTTATTCTACTGCTATAATCATGTATCTGCCTGTGTGTGAGGCCTGCATGAGATCTCCTTGGTGCAGACATTACAAAAATACAGTATATGGTAAAGTTGCATGTCCTGTTTTGACATTAGACAAAATATATGATGTGGCCACTTTAGTCATGGAACATAAATTGTGGCCTCCTGTCTGCTTCTGGGTGGCAGGCTGGAGACACAGCCAAAAGAGGTAAACGAGTCGATAAACAATAACCATATGTATGAAATGTATTGAACATGGGCACGCCTTCAGAAAGCACTGTATAAAAGAGAATACAGACACAGACTCAATAGATTTTCTGCAGATAATCTCTAGACTGCATTATCCCTCTGATAATAAAAGTCTGTTTTTCTGGCATCAAAACCCAAGTGTTCAAGAGTTATTCTTCATAGAAACGGCAAGAGCCACCAAACAAGCAGCTCATTTTTCCGTCACTGTAAGTTACGGAAAACACACATGAAAACACGTAACACACGTTAGACACGTGTTTGTGCGGCAGAGCGGCTCTCTCTCGCACTGTATGATGTGACAGACAAATAGTTGTGCAGTCCGGATCCGTTCACACAGCGTGTGTTTTCGTGTGAGTTCGGTTACAGAATGCGGTTGTCACGCCCGTAAATAACCGAACTGTGTGTGAACGTAACCGTATTAAGGACTCAAAAACAGGACTGACAACAGTATTCTGCTGCTGTGTGAACATGGCCATATATAGGATATGAGATCATAACCTAGATGTGCTCTGTTTAACAGAAACATAGCTAAAACCAGATGATTACATTACTTTAAATAATAAAGACTTTACAGACTTTATTACCATACAGACTTTATCACCATACAGACTTTAGCAAAGAATTTGCTGGCTGCAGATAAAGTCTTAATTGTTGGTGATTTTAATATCCATTTATAGACGTTCTAAACTCTACTGGAGTTACAACACATGACAGAACCCACTCATTGTCGTAGTCATACTTTAGATTTAATATTATCACATGGAATTGGTGTTAATGAAATTAAAATTATGCAACAGAGTGATGATATATCAGATCATTATCTAGTTTTGTGAATACGCCATTTAGCTAAAGCTGGAAATTCAACTCCTTGTCACATCACTTCTACTACAAAAGACTGCTTTGTAAATAATCTTCCTGACTTGTCTCATCTTCACAGCATATCCAATAGCTCAGAAAAACTTGATATTGTAACTATGGACTGTCTCTTTTCTAGCACTTTAGACACCGTTGCTCCTTTATGCTTTAAGAAGATTAAGGAAAACAGTTTGACGCTGTGGTATAACAAGCACACTCGCACCCTAAAGAAAGCAGCCCAGAAAACGAAAAATCATTGCCATTAGGATATGTTTTTAAAGCGATAGTTCACCAAAAAATGAAAATTCTGTCATTGCGTTATTTCTTATTGTTTTGCAGTGAAAATATACCACAGACAACATTCTTCTAACATTGTTATGGCTTTTCTGACTTTGAGAACCATTGTAGGGCTCCAGACTAACATTTAAAGACACTAGCACCAGTGCTATTAAGTTCTACAGAAGGTGGCACCAGCACCTGACAGTAGAGCACTCGCCATAATCGCGCAATCTCGGAGATGTCTATATGATGTCTGCATTTACATATGCAAGATGTATTTTTTAGAGTGTTTGCTCATCTGCAATACATCTCTAAGATGTTTCCTGTCAGATGTCAAATAGACATTTATTAGAATGCATGTAAAAATGCTTCTGAGACATTTATCAGATTACACAGCAGATGTTTCCTAGATCTTTAGCAGACGTCTTTACAGATGTACTTGTGCTGTCTGGGCAGTTGAGATGCAGATAAAATTAACTTTTATTACTGTAATGTCTAACTATAATATACATACAAAAATATATATATATATTAGGGAGTGGAAATGGCTAATAAGGCTATAAGTACTTTTCTGCAGCCATCTACTAGTGATTATTTAATGCATTTATTTTTTAAATAAGTGTTTGCTTTCCTACATTATGAAGCTTTTAGTTTTATAAATGGGGACAACCTATGAAGGTTGAACAAATAATGCCATCACATTAAAAATAACTTTTAAATTCGGTAATACTTAAAGCTCTGAAGTGCTGGGAAAAGTTGTGTGAAGCATTTAAAAACACTCGAAAACATTAGACCATTTCTGCCACAAGTTGTCCCTGTAGTTTTACCATGTTAAATCCATGGTGAATGGTGGTGATTTGTGTTTATTGAACAATGTTTTTCCTGGTTACCACATCAGTGGTAAGTGATGTCAAAACAGTATATTGTTCTGATATCTATAGCTTTAACAGAATTCAGCGCCGAATTTGAACGCTTCTCACAAGATTTCACAGAGATGTTATTGATTCAGCTGCGAATTTGACTGCTTTCTTCACTGTATCTCCCAGTGCCGTGCATAACGGTGTCCAGATCAAGATCAGGCCGCGGATCCGGCCCGAGCAGATAAACGGTCTGCGCTGCGTAGCCCATAAAAAAAAAGCAGCGTGGATTCGTACCGCTTTAGGTTCGTTTGTCCAATGTAGCTCTTGTAAATCGGTCATGATGAGAACGCAAGGCTGTTCATTCCATTTTTGGAACTGAGAAACCTTTCTTTGACTGACTGACTTTCTATGAATTTTGATGACGTCACAGGACTCGTCTAAGGCCAAAATCTGCGGCAATTACGAAAATTTGCCAGCTCTTGTGAAAATTGCAGAGTTTGCTTGATTTTGCAATAAATTCAGCGATCGCAGAATTGCAAAATCATGGAGGGACTGATATATAGGCTACGTTCACACTGTCAGTTTTTGGGATTGACTACCGCATTTTCTTTACAGGTGTGAGTCTCGAAATGTCCCGTTCACGCAGCAGCTTACAGTTGTGTTTAGAATACTGTCTGTATGAACGTGCAATGGGAGTCAAGCCCCATTCCTTACCAGTAACCATAGCGACAGTGACCAAAGTAAAATCAAAGATGGCGACGTCCATAAAACTGAAAGTCTTATCACTTTCTGACATGACAATTGAGCCGCGATTTCTTTCGTCAAATCTTCAATAACCAACAGCTTCGTGCGCAGAACACAAAATTGACGGGAGCGACTCCGGTGGAAATCTGACGGGCTCGAAAACGTACAGACGACACGCAGCTAATTTTTCCGTTACTGTAAGTTACGGAAAACACGTAACACACGTTAGACACGTGTTTGTGCGGCAGAGCAGCTCTCTCTCGCACTGTATGATGTGACAGACAAATAGTTGTCCAGTCCGGATCCGTTCACACAGCGCGTGTTTTCCGATAATGCGGTTGTGAGTCCTGAAAATTACGGGTGTGAGTTCGGTTACAGAATGCGGTTGTCACGCCCATAAATAACCGAACTGTGTGTGAACGTAACCGTAATTAAGGACTCAAAAACAGGACTGACAACCTATTCTGCTGCTGTGTGAACGTGGCCATATATAGGATATGAGATCATAACCTAGATGTGCTCTGTTTGACAGAAACATGGCTAAAACCAGATGATTACATTACTTTAAATAATAAAGACTTTACAGACTCTATTACCATACAGACTTTATCAAAGAATTTGCTGGCTGCAGATAAAGTCTTAAGTGTTGGTGATTTTAATATCCATGTAGATAATGAAAATGATGCATTGGGATTAGCATTTATAGACATTCTAAACTCTACTGGCGTTACAACACATGACAGAACCCACTCATTGTTGTAGTCATACTTTAGATATATTATCACATGGAATTGGTGTTAATGGCATTAAAATTCTGCAACAAAGTGATGATATATCAGATCATTATCTAGTTTTGTGAATACGCCATTTAGCTAAAGCTGGAAATTCAACTCCTTGTCACTTCTACTACAAAAGACTACTTTGTAAATAATCTTCCTGACTCATCTCATCTTCACAGCATATCCAATAGCTCAGAAAAACTTGATATTGTAACTATGGACTGTCTCTTTTCTAGCACTTTAGACACAGTTGCTCCTTTATGTTTTAAGAAGATTAAGGGAAACAGTTTGATGCTGTGGTATAACAAGCACACTTGCACCCTAAAGAAAGCAGCTCAGAAAACGAAAAATAATATATTGAATATTAGTTCATCATTGTCATTAGGATATGTTTTTAAAGCGATAGTTCACCAAAAAATGAAAATTCTGTCATTAATTACTCACCCTCATGTTGTTCCAAACCCATAAAACCTTTGTTCATCTTTGGAACACAAATTAAGATATTTTTGATGAAATCAGAGAGCTTTCTGACCATGTATAGACAGCAACGCAACAGTCACGTTCAAGGCCCAAAAAGGTAGTAAGGACATCATTAAAATAGTCCATGTGACATCTGTGGTTCAACCTTAATTTTATGAAGCTACGAGAATACTTTTTGTGCACAAAGAAAACAAAATTAATGACTTTATTCAATAATTTTATTTGCACACAAAAGGATGAATGCCTCTCTTGACCAACAAGAACATACAAGGCTGGCTTGAATATGCTAAAAAATCATTTGGATAGACCTTTTGAGTTCTGGAAGAATGTTTTTGGAGTGATGTGACCCAACTGGAGCTTTTTGAACCCACGGATCAGTGGTATGCCTGATTCAAAAAAGGCAAAGCTTATGAGAATACCATTTCCATGGTCAAACATGGAGGTTGACCAGTTGACCAGTAACAATTAGTACACTGAAGGCAAGTTGTGATGAACCCAAGTGCAGTTTAATAAAATCCAAAAGTAAGCAAAAACACAAGGAACAATTCTTGGCTTTGGCAAAAACATGAACAAGACTTAGCATGGCAAAGACATGAAAACAACTCGCCAACAGCAGATTACACAGTACAAAGCTAGACAGATATTATTGCTGGCGGGCCAGTTGCCGACCACTGCTCTAAGATTTTTTCCAGCTGTGGTGGCAGGACTATTTCTCATGGACCACGCCCCCTCCCCTCCCCACCCAAGAATCATGTGCACTCAGAATTTAATTTATTTTAACTAAAAAAGACAAGTAAATAGTAAATAATAAAATAAGAACATAAATTAATGACAATCAATAGTACAAACAAAAACAATAACAAGAAATGTTTTCAGTTAGGTCTAACTACAATCTACAATCTGTATAATGAAAGACAGCAGCAGGTTTATTTAGACTGCTGTCTCTTTAAGACCTCATGCACAGATCTAATATCCTGATACACATGGCTCTATGCTTACTTTTCTTTTTAGGAGCGCTTTTTACCTTTGCAATGGCATCATTTTCATCAGTCAAATTCAAAAATTTATGTTTATAAACTTTTTAAAATTTCTATTTAAAACAATATAAGACAAAGAATAAAACAAATAAGTTACCAATCATATGAAATTAGTATTATTAAAAAAATAATTTGGGTGCACAGAAGAACACAAAAGTGGCTTGTAGGTACATTTGTAGGTTTGAACGGCTGATTCATTCAGGAATGAAGCAAGTGACTGTCTTTATGAATGGGTAATCATGAATCACTGACTCACTAGATTAGTTCAAAAATGCACTTTCATTCATGAATGAAACACAGCTGTGTTTGCTTTTAGAGCTGTTTTAGAGCTGAGCTGTTACTTTATTTGGAACTATTTTCATTGATGAAATAGAGCAAAATCAGGCATTACTTGTTTACTGAACTGTTGTATTAAATCAATATCACATTTGCAAACTCCTTTAATAATTATTAAAAGATGTCACTCTCCTTATCACGATCTGTGGGCGCACAGAAAATGAGAGCGTGCAAGTGAGTTCTCAAGACACAAAAGCACGTGCAAATGATACGTTCCATCATCTGTCATCGAATTATAAGCGTGGAACCTGCGGGAATGAGTAGAATTATTATTAATAGCAATCCCGCACTGAAATTCAAGTCCTGCTCTGTTTTCTCTGCTAATAACCCGACTGTGAATCATGCGAGCGGCATTATGTTGTCAGTGAGAAGCTGCAGCCATGGCAGGGATTTTTTTTTGTGCCGGCAAAACAACAACAATGAGCTACATATTACTTTTCCCCTCATTTTTTCGAATTGACGGAAATCTGTCGTAGCGACAGAAAACTTTAATCCCTGCGTCAATGGGCAACCAGGTGAGACACAGGGCCCACAACCGATCTAAAGTATCCAGATAGAAATTTGTCACACATTCTCAATAGGAAAGTGCCCAAGCAACATTACTCAAAAAAAGTTGCCCGGCAAAAATGCTCAAAAAGTTGTGTATCATCCCCAGTGTATCATCAGCCTTATGGGGGTGTTTTGCTGTTGAAGGAGGTGGAAATCTTGACTGTATGGAGGGCATCATGGATTATTTTAAGTATCAGACCATTTTGGCAAAGATTGTGATGCCTTCGGTACAGAGACTGATGCTTGATGATAAACAGACTCTCCTGCAGAACAGCCATTCCCAAGTATACATCCAAATCTACTTCAGGAATCAGTAGAATGTTTTTGCCTGTTCAGTCTTCAGATTTAAATATCATTGAAAATATTTGGTTGATTGTAGCAGATTCCAAAGATTGCAGAGGTGACAGAAACTTCTAAACACTTACAGGCAGCGTTTATTGAAGGTTATATAAAAATAAAAGATTCTGCACATATTTTGACTTTTGGAGGTTGAATTATTTTGTACATGGGTCAAAGACAAGACATTACAATGTTGGTGTCCACATCAAATTAAAGTTACAAAAAGTCATTTTACATACAGGAATTTTGTCCCGAATATGCAGTTTGTCAGAGGTCATTCAGTGTAACAGGATCAGGAAACCATTTTGAAATTAAATAAACAACCAATAGTCATTAAATAGTCTGTGACATCATCAAAGGGTGCCCTGAAGACCATGTGGTGCTACAGCAGGATTAATTTAATGCTCTTAATAATTTGATAATTTCACCTTTTCATAGTGTTGTAACTTGAGTTACAAAAACACGTCATTCAGTGAAATTCCAAAAAAAAAACACTTTTATAGTTAGATTTTTTTTTTAAATAATTAGTTGTGAATAATTATGATTAACTTTTCTGGTCAAGTTCACTGTTTGATATAGGTGGCTAGTTGTTAGCCTGCAATATTAGCTTAAGTAGAAGTTTCGTCATTCAGGGTAATGTTTTGTCATTCGGATGACAGTGTCACTGTTTAGATAGCCTTTTATTTATATTTCATATAAATGAAGGATGTTTAGTGCTAAAAAAAATTTTAAACTTTATAAATATTAATGTTTTAATGCATTTTTTTTCTTTTTTTACGTGTATTTATTTTAGATGTGCTCAAACAAAGAGAGAGTTACTAGGCACCGCCAGAAAATGATTGCAGAAAATTAATACCAATCCTGAATACCAATGATGCATTTTAACAAGTCATATACAGACATGTGCAACAACAATAATATGCATAGTACTGATCTACTGTCTTAACATCATATTCATGTAACATAATAATATTTATTCTTAATCATAATATGGTTCGTTTCTATTAAAAGGGTCATATGACGTTGCTAAAAAGAACATTATTTTGTGTATTTGGTGTAATGCAATGTGTTTATGCAGTTTAAGGTTAAAAAAACACATTATTTTCCACATAATGTACATTATTGTTGCTCCTCTATGCCCCGCCTTTCTGAAACGCATCGATTTTTACAAAGGTCATCGTTCTGAAAAGTGAGGTGTATGCTGATTGGCCAGCTATCCAGTGCATTGTGACTGGCCGAATGCCTCAAGCATAGGGCTGCACGATAAATCGAAATGGAATCGAGATCGCGATTCGACAGA